GCACCCAGAGTTCTTCCGTTCTTTTGAATTCTGATCCCAACAAGTCTATTCGAATTGCAACGTTTAATGTTGCCATGTTTTCCCTTGCACCTGCCATCCAAAAGGATGAGGAATCAGGTGCTTTTAGTCATGGAAAAGAATATAATGCAGCAATGAAGAGTCCTCTGTTGACCAATGTTCAGGCCGGTACTGCAAACTATTATCCAAAGAGCATACTGAAGCAGTCTCCATTACATTCTTCCCTGGGTAGTCCAGAAAATCTCTCCAAGCACAAGCAGTCAAGATCAAAGTTGAAGGTTTCAATCAATCTCCCTGATAACGAGATTTCATTAGCGCACACCAAGTTTCTCAGCATTGTGAAAGATGAGAAAGAAGGTTCATCAAACTTGATCACAGGCGGAAACGTCTTGATGAGGTCTCCTGTGTGTCTTCCTTCAAGTCTATTGAATTGGTGGAATGAAGAGAGCTTCAAAAGCAGCAGAAGCATAGCAGAAATTCTTCGGGAGGTGGATGCTGATATCTTGGCTTTGCAAGACGTGAAAGCCGAGGAAGAGAAAGGCATGAAGCCTCTATCTGACCTGGCTGCTGCTCTAGGGATGAAGTATGTCTTTGCAGAGAGCTGGGCTCCGGAATATGGAAATGCTGTCCTATCAAAATGGCCTATAAAAAGGTGGAAAGTTCAGAAGATTGCTGATGATGATGATTTTAGGTGATCTATTTTTGCCCTTAATAGGTTGATTGTTTTTCATTTGATCAACTTTATTTGAAGAGCTTCAACGCCTTGATTTATTTACAATAATTTCTCCATTCATTTTAGTAGAAAACTAACATTTTTGTCTCTCAATGGAATAAATAAGTGAAAATAATTTCTTTCTTCACACATATGCCTGCACCCCTAAACACTCATTGTGTGCTTGTAGGAATGTGCTAAAGGCTACCATCGATGTACCATGGGCAGGAGAAGTGAATTTCTACTGCACCCAACTAGATCACTTGGATGAGAATTGGAGAATGAAGCAAATAAGTGCTATAATCCAATCAAATGACTCACCTCATGTCTTGTTGGGAGGTTTAAATTCATTGAATGGATCAGATTACTCACTAGACAGATGGAAAGATATTGTCAAGGTAATATTCTTATATACCTATTCTGTCAGGCCTTCTATAAACTCTGATGGCAAGAAATGAGGAAAAATCCAAAATAGTTAAACTTCATTTCTCTGCTTTGCAATAACTTTTGTGAACTGTCCTGTAAAGTGTTTTGGTTCTAATGAAGTCACTATCAATCTTTGTAGTACTATGAGGACCTAGGAAAGCCTACTCCAAGAGTAGAAATAATGAAGTTTCTTAAAGGAAGAGGGTACACGGATGCAAAAAATTTTGCAGGGGAATGTGAACCTGTGGTCATAATTGCCAAAGGCCAAAGTGATCATAACCTTATCCCACAATTCATTTCTTTTTGTCCTCCTATATTGTTTCAAAGTTGTCTTTTTATAGTTTTTGAGACTGAATTTTTAATTCACTTTGGAAAGCAGATGTGCAAGGAACATGCAAGTACGGGACACGAGTTGATTACATTTTGGCATCTCCTGACTCGCCATACAAGTTTGTTCCTAGATCTTACTCGGTCATTTCCTCGAAAGGTACTTCCGATCATCATATAGTTAAAGTTGATATAGCGAAAGTAGGTGAAACTTCACGGAAAGATTACACTAAACGGCATCTGAAGGCAAAAGAAAGAGTTGTCAAGGTAATGAATAGCTCGTGTTCTTCAAGAGGGATATGGAAAATAAGCACTTGAAAAACTCTTGGTCTTCTATAGGTATATGAAAAACAAAATCTTGAAGTTCAGAAAAAAATTAATTCTGTATTGTTGATGAAGCATTAATGCATTCATATCTGTGTAAATCATATATATATATATATATATACATATATAATATGACAATTCTATTTTAAAAAGAATTTAATGTATAGATTGAGACTTGTATCAATTCCATATTAATAAAATCCCTTTTGCTTCTTTTAATGAATCATCCTGTTGATTTCTCTTTAAAGAATTCCCATCTAGATTTTGAGGAATTAACTGGCAGAACTTGATGGGAGTTTTGTTTGAAGTAATTCACTGGTAGGTAAACAACCGAACCTCGACCTTTGAATGTTTGAAGTTTAAGATCCATTATGGAATTTGTCAACCCTCTTGGTCAAATAGTTTATGAAAGCCCTAGTTGATTCATAATATGATACTTGAGTTTTACTTCATAAAATTAAATAATTTAAAATGTTATAAATAGTATCGTGGTATATAAGATATCTAAGTCGCTTTAACTAATATAATTAATCTTAAACTTTTCTCGGTTTCTATTTGTTGATTGTAATTTGTTATATCAAAAAAGGACATCCAATAATAGAGGAATATTGCAAGATTTTAAGTCTTTTAAATCTTACGTCAAAAATTTAGTCCTACATCGAAAAATTAAATTATCTCAATTTCACTTTGAAAAATTTAATTAACATTTACTATACAAGAGTTCAATTTATCACTATTAATAACTTAAATTTCAAAGAATTAATAGTTCGAATTCAAATAATATTACCCGTTAGAGAATTAACTCTTGTATTATATATTTGTTTATACTTTTTTTTTTTTTTTTCATATATTTGTTTATACCTTAGCATAAGAAGAAAAATACAAATTTTAGAAACCAAATCATATTTATACGTAATTATTTGTAGGTAATTCATTTATTCTAAATCTAACTTTACAAGATAAAGAATTCTTGTTGACCAAGAGAATAGAAGAAATTGGCAAAGCATAAAACTAAATTAAAATTTTAAAGAAATATTTTAATTAATTATTCTCAAAATTTTAATCCCAGTAAATATGAAAAAAAAAAATTACTTTTAATTTTTTATTCCTATCTTTGAATTTTGTAAATTTAAATTTTAGATTACATATTGGTGTCTAAAAGCAAATATAAGTAAAAGAAATTATTTTCTAATTTATATAAAATTATTTCAAAAAAGTTATGGTTAATAAGTTTATTGGGTAATAATGATACATTCTTTTTGAAAATGATGGGAAAAGGAAAACAATATATTATAATTGATTCAAGAGCAAAACTTTAAAAATATATATATATTTTTATAAAACCTTAAAATAAATAAATCACAAATAATTATATTTCATTTATACTTATAAAACACCGGAATGTAATTTATTTTTTAAAAATTACACTAACAAATTCAAATTTATTACATTTAGATGATGAGCCACTCATCTCCATCCCTTCTTTCTCTTTCTTCGGCTGATTGAAACAGATAATAATAATTGCAATCACACACAGAAAGAAAAGAACACCACCTCAACAATCAATAAATTTTTCTAAACAAAATTAACTTTAAACCAAACTGTCTCTAATGGTCTTGGAAATTCAACAAAGCAGCAGCAGTAGCACGTTGGCTGGTTAAGACTTATCGGAAGAATCAGCTGAAGGGTACCCAATGCCATGGCGATTGCTCGGAAACAAAGTGAAAACAGTGCCGGAAACAGCACCAATTACCGGCGGCAACACCATCATCAACAACTTCTCTGTCGACTCGAACTCCGGATAAAAACAATTCACCGTATTGGTATCCAACAGAGCCACCACACCAAACACAATCAACGTAAAGAAAGCATGAACAAAGTCCCCAAACCGCAGCTTGTACCTCGACAGTCCACCCCTTCTGCATCTGTAGACGGCCAAAGACCCTTTATCGTCACTATGCCGTAGTGAATTACTCCATCCCGGCCTCTAAACTGTCGGTAAACACGAGAACAGCACGAGAGCCGCAGAGCGCATAAAAATACCCGTCATGTACT